GGAGCAGAAACTATAAGCTCAGCTTGAAATTACTGAGGACTGGACTTTACTAGAAGAGAACTGGCAAACATTTCATAAATGCTTTGTTTTTGAGTATGCATATGAAAAAAAAAAGGAGCGAGGAGGGGGAAGGAAGGTACCAATCTCAAGTTGTACCGCAGTATATCTCCGGGGAAGTATTGACCACCCGGTTATCGTCAGTCAAAATGCAATCACCATGGCTGAGAACGAACACTCTTCATAAAACCGTGCCACCGTGGTACGTGGCTATGATCAATGTGTGTTTATTGCTTCCAGAAATGTGCAGTGCTTTTTTTTTGTGCCTATACTGTGTTTGCATATGTTTCACAGGATTCATGGTGGTAAGCGGCTAGCATATCGTTTGAAAGAGTGACAAACCCAGCCTTGAAGGATGCCGATACACAACCCCGAGCGAAAATGTGCAACAGGGAATCCTACTGGCTTCAGCTGGTAGTAACTCGTGTCGACTGATCTCAGTTGGGAACTAATTGGTCCCAGTTGATACCAGCTGCAACTGGTTCCACTTAGCAGCTAATTGGTACCAATTATAACTCGATTGATCACCAACGGTAACCACGACCAGTTCAACTAGAAGCAGTTGGCCCGGTTGAAAACCATAACTAGTTAAATTGGAAGCAAGGGGTGCCAGTTGTGCCCTAACTGGAAATTCTACCAGTAGTTCTGATTGTAAAGAAAATTGACAACTACAACATGTATAATGCAGCAGTGCTGTACTTGAGCGAAGAGGCTTTATCCAAGAGCTTTTTGTGCATTGCTCACGAGAGTCTACTAGATTTCTGGCCTAGTAAGGGGTCTATTGAAACAGTGGACAATGAGAAATTAAGAAAATGATGCCTCTTAGATTTCAAATGAAATATCTTTTTTCGTTTAGACATCAACCTCTTGGCACTTATTATAATCTTACCTGAACTGTATTTATTATCGTGGATTATTCCGTTGCACAAGTTCATAACACAATGTACTACAGGATTCCTGAACTAGCAATGAAGCAACAGGGTTGGAAAGGAATATCACACACACGTGATGCAACTGGTACAGATGAAAACACTGCGCATAAGACCATCTGATTAATTACTAACACGCTGATGCTCTGCAAGTACCATAAAGATAACGCAGAGCATGATACATTTCTCTAAACAGGTGATCAGCCTCTTTTCGTGATAACTCTGTGGACGGTACACAATCAGAACCATGTTTTTTTTTCTTTGCATTTTATATGCTTCGATCACTTCGCTCTCATAGTTATTTCATGGCTGAGTATCATTAAAGACGGGTGAGCCCTCCTTGTGCACGCTCTACCACAAGGAACGGCTAACCTCTCTGTCTTCCCTTTTATCTTTCTTTTACAACAAAAAACGAAATGTGATACGTGTGACATCTAACAAAACAATGAGCCCTTAAATTTACACTTCTTTCTTGATGTTTCAATTAATTTGGTTAATCTGTTATATGGCCAGTAGTGCAACTGCTTCTTGATTTGTGGTTTTCGATCTCAGAAAATAGCGAAAACGTTGCATGGCACCGAAAATTTGGCAACTTTTTTTCACGCTGTGAGAAATCATGTACTTCACCTCGTCTACTCTATACCCACTTACACGGGCACCTAGACCGACTATTTATCAGTCAGACCTACAAGGTAACATTGCTGCAATTTACCCACATACTGACTCTGTGTAAAATACTGGCAGTGAATTAGCGACTCCCAGGATTGTTTTTTTTTTTTCAACAAAAACAGCGATACGAGGGAGAAAACATAAAATAAGTTATTGTAGTTGAATGAAACGCTGAAAGATCTCGCTTTGTGGCAGCTGTCAACAGCATTGAGTTTCCTGTAAATCCACTAGACGGAAATGTGGTGCTAGTGTCCATGGAAGCTTTTTTCTGTTTCACTTGAGCAAATGAGTTTCATTGCCATTATTGATGAATCAGTAGCCGCTGAATAAAAACGGAGGTTCACAAAATTTTTGTGACTTAAGTTTCTTTTATTATTTTGGTTAGTGGAACAAAGTCGGGAAAGCACAAGTGCTCCTCAGTTTGATAAGTTATAATATTCGTTTTGTTTAATTCTAAATTCAGTGGTGGGAATGCTGCTACAATTGCTCAAAAAAAACATTTCATTGAATCTGTGGCATCTCTGCTACAAAATAGAAAGACTGCTCCGAAAGGTTGGCTTTCGAGATTGCTGGAATGGCAATATCATCCAACACTGCCATATAGACTATAACCAAGAGAAGTTACGGTCAACTTGAAGTAGCAGTTGGGACTACCTAATATGAAGTCTCTCTCCTGAGACATCCTATATGCACCCATTCACAATTATGTCTGTATTCCTTGGCCACAGATGTGCATGCTTGGGCAGCTTCACGATTTGATTGGGCCTTGCATTTGGGAGAGTTACATATATGGCTCCCTTTGCAGAAACTGTGTGCAGAAACTCTGACGCTAGGATCGCCTTTGTAGAAGCAGAGCTTGCACCTTAGCAACTTTCTCATGCCCATCCCAGTTTCTGTTTTGCAACAAGGCATGTTTATTAAGTGAATCGAGCAACTTATTCAGTGATAGTACTCACCATCATGGTTTAGGTAAACGGAGATCTTGTGAATAGGTTTTTTTCAAAGAGCATCCACATGGCTTCTTTTACAGAAGCGCGCTTACCGAAGCTTTCATTTGTAGTAAAGCGTGTCATGTTTGACTAGTGCAACTGAATGTGGACAGAGAAAAATGTGCATGCACACACACACAGCCCTTTGACATGTCGGCATGCCGTCCTTGTCTAAGAAGCTAATGAAATTTCTCGATCCCTAGTTTGGTTGCTACAGGTTGTGGTGGCAGCAAAATGTGTGCATCTTTTTTGCTTCTCTTTGCACCTTTTATCATTTATTTGCATGTACTGCCATTTTGCATAGTATGATATGGCAGGAGTTACACTAAAAATGCAGTATGAGAACGAGGCTGTGCGTTGCAGAAAAAGAAAGACATCTGGAAAGTGTATGCAGCTCATCGTTGAGTCAAGTTCGGAAATCGTTCCTAGAAATCATCATCAGACGACTTCCGCATGTAGCCCTTGGCCATTCCAAATGTAAAAAGCAATCAATGGATGATTTAAAAGCAAGTACAATAAAGCGGCGACTTCTGCTTGTTTATCTATATACATTAAAGGTTTGTTAACTCGAAGTCTCTGGGGCCATGAAAAATCTTTGAATTACGTGGGTTTTTGAATTAACAAATGATGCAAAAAGGGGGGGTGCAAGGAAGTTAAAATTCTTCGAAGTAATCGGGGCTGGTTGTTTGCTGGGCCGGCTCATTTGCGGTTCTAAGGGTTGTGCTTTCTAGCAATACCTGGTTGCAATTTCGCCGCAAACATGGAGAAAGAGCGGGTCTCACTGCTGCCACAAAAAAAAAAAAAAAAAAATTGTGATCAATTGAAACGCTCGCCTGTTTTATAAGACATGTTCCCTGCAACACAGTAGTGTCATTTGGGCACCATGTTGCCGGCTCAAGGAGGTACCCTCGTTATACTTCCATCGTGCAGGGATGAAAGTGCTGCTTTAATTGCTCCAAACTACCCCAAAAGAGAAATGCTGCAAAGCTGTCCTGAAATGGCGCTGAAAAAACGAGAGTGACAAACTTTTACTCTTTAATCAACTCATAATTCCTTAAGTAGAATCAGTGTGCTTTCATTTCAGTGTGCTACTAATGTGCAGCATTATCGGCTCTGTTCCCACTTGTACCACAGAACTGTCATATTGACTATATAGGCCATTTGGCTGCTTTTTTTTCTCAGCTGGATAGGTAGGCTAGTGTGGTAAAATGTGAAAATGAGCCGTATTTGCTTTTACCTCATACCTATTATCTATCATTCAGCAACACTTATATGGGACCCTGGTTACTTCTAAAATGTGGCGCTTATCTTTTCTGGTTTAATTTGATATCTGCCCCAAATACTAGTATTTCAAATTGTAGCTCATATTGCAGCACATTTCTGACAACTTTCCATTGTTCGCATCATCAAATTTATTTCGATTGTTGTCTGGTAAATACATTTCATAACAAAGAATATTTACTAGTTGCTTCGACACTGCTCTGAACTCTTAATAATGCATGGCAAATTTATTATCTGCTCCTAAGCCACTAGTAGCTGCTGTAAACTAGCATTTTTTCCTGCTCCGAAAGTTCTTATTGCTGCTCCAACGTAGTACTTTCCCTGTTCCAAAGTATGCTCTAAAAAGTAAAAAGTCGCTTCTGTCATTGAGTACGTCATGCTGAGACCATTTGCCTGTTCTTCCTGGTAAAATAAAGATTTAATAATGGCCAGCCCAAAAATCATTATTTGCTGGCTTTTATTAAGACTTTATAGATGATGTATCCGTGACGTCACGCCAGCCGAAGCCGCCGTTATCACCACTGCTTCTTCTCCTTCCCTTCCCCTTAACCCCTCTCGCACAACGCTACATTAACCCGCGCTATCGCAATAAAGCTTTCGTCTTGGCCCAGCCACTGCCCTGGCGTGTTCGTTTCACTGGCGACGAGGATGGGATGAAAGCGGTGCGGCAACTCCGTCCGTCATGACCGCCGCACCCACGGGAGGATACGCCAGCCCGCCGCAGTTCGACGAGGCGAGCGACAAGTGGCCCGCGTACCAGGTTCGGCTGGAAGCCTTCTTTGAGGGAAATGGCATCACGGAAGACAACAAGAAGCGGGCCCTGCTGGTGACTGCACTGTCCACCCACACCGTCGACGTACTGAGCGGACGTTGTGCTCCGGATAAGGTGAATGAACTTTCGTACCCACAAGTGATAGCCTTGCTTAAGCAGCACTTCTCGCCGCAACCGAACGAGATAGCACAGTCTTATAAGTTCTTCACCCGCAATCAGCTGCCCGGCGAACCGGTCAAGGATTTTGTCGTGGCGATTCGACAGATAGCGAACACCTGCAATTTTGGTGCTTCGTTGGACAGAATGCTACGAGATCGCATCGTGTGTAGTCTGCACAACGTCGGAGTGCGTCGGCAGCTACTCGCGAAACCACAGCTGACGAGGAGCGAAGCGGAAGAAATTGCGATATCTACCGAAATGGCCGAGGCCAACGCGCAAGAGATAGTAAGCCCCACCGCTGAGGCAAGGGTGCATGCGCTGGGAGGCCAGTCCTATCGCCCACGAAGCCGGCCACAGATTGTTGGGTGCTACCGCTGCGGAGCAAAAGGGCACGGACCCGAGGATTGCCGCTTCCGCTCGGCGTCATGCTTCAAGTGTAAACAACGAGGTCATATCGCTCGAGCCTGTTGCCGCCGTGAGAGTGGGTTCGGGGTGGTACCACCAGAACGCCAAGTACACGCCTTGTCGCGGGAGGAAGACACTGGCACGGACGGTATGTTCGCGCTGGAGGCAGCGGACAGTCACATCGGCCACGTCGGCATTACGCAACCCATCGTGCGCACCTTGGATTGTGGTGGGGTTCCAGTGAACATGCAGGTCGACACAGGCTCGCCGGTTTCGGTCATCACGTGGCCCACATATGAGCGGAACAAACAGTGTGGCCGAAGCTGCGTGGTTCGCCATTGAAACTCACCTGCTTCCTGGGACGGCTTCCAGTGCGGGGACAACTTCAGCTCAAGGTTTCGTGCGGAAACAAGTCGACGGCTGGATCTTTGCAAGTCCTTGGTTGCTCCGGCCCAAACCTCTGCGGACGCGACCTGATTCAAGCGTTCCACATGCTCGAGGCACCGGTAATGAACGTGAACACGTCAGGTGAGCAACTGCCGTTACTCGGTGCTGACGACGTTAACGTGGATTGGTTGCTAGCAGAATTCGCTGATGTGTTCGCGCCAGGTTTAGGGCTCATAAAAGGGCCACCGGTACACTTCGAGACGCGAGAAAACGTGGTGCCGAAGTTTTGGAAAGCACGCGATGTTCCGTATGCTTTTCGGCCAAAGGTCGACGCGGAACTGGACCGCCTTTCGGGCGCGGGTATTATTGTACCGGTGCCTCATGCGGAGTGGGCGGCGCCAGTGGTACCGGTAGTGAAACGGAATGGCTGCATCCGCCTTTGCGGCGATTTTAAGCTAACGGTCAACAAAGCCTGTCGCACTGAGCAATATCCGTTGCCACGGGTGGAGGATATCCTGGCTACATTAAATGGCGGTGAAGTTTTTACCACGATAGACTTGCGGGAGGCATACAACCAGCTTCCGTTGGATGAGGAAGCCATGCAACTCACGACCATAAACACGCATAAGGGACTGTTCAGCTTTACTCGCCTGCCTTTTGGAGTGGCGTCCGCGCCGGCCGTGTTCCAACGGCGTATGGAGACCATTTTGCAGGGACTTCCGGGTGTTCAGGTCTACCTAGACGACGTCATCGTGGCAGAGAAACGCAATGACTGCACCACCCTGCACGAAGTATTCAAGCGTTTCCGGGAATACGGCGTGCGCCTGAACGCAGACAAGTGCAAGTTCCGCTAACTAGAGGTGGATTTTTTGGGGCATCGAATCAGCGCTCGAGGTCTTCAACCAAAGACGGAAAACATAGACGCCATCCTTAAGGTTCAGGCACCACGGAATTCCGCAGAATTAAGGTCCTACCTCGGCATGGTAACGTACTACCACAAGTTTCTTCCCAATGCATCGACCGCCATGGCACCCCTATATCAACTACTCCGGAAGGAAGCTAAGTGGAAGTGGGATACCGCTCAACAGCAGTCATTCAGCAGTGTGAAAGACCTTCTGAAATCCGCAGACTTTCTGGCGCATTTTGACCCACACAAGCCGCTAGTCCTGGAATGCGATGCCTCCCGGGACGGAATAGGCGCAGTGCTTTCACACGATATCGGGGGCGGGGTACTTCGGCCCATAGGGTTCCGCTCTCGGTTATTGACTGGAGCTGAGAAAAATTACTCGCAGCTGGAGCGTGAAGCCTTGGCACTTGTGTTTGGTGCGTCGAAATTCCGACAATACTTGCTCGGCAATACTTTCACATTGATGACGGACCATAAGCCGCTTGTTGCACTTTTTCACCCAGACAGGCCAGTGCCCGTGATGGCCGCTGCGCGAATCCAGCGGTGGGCCCTGCTGCTGAGCGCCTACGATTACGTCATCAAACACCAGCCCGGGAAAGACAACATTCCAGCAGATGCCCTCAGCCGACTCCCCACGTCAGCAACTTCCCAGCCAGAGACGCAGGAAGAAACTGTGGACGGTGAGTATGTCCTGCTCACGGAGACCCTCAATGATGGTGTCATGTCTGCGAAGCAACTGGGCACTCTCACGGAGCTTGATGACGATTTAGCAAGGTGCAAAAATGGGTGCAGGAGGGATGGCCAAGAAATTTGGGGCCTAAGGACCAGCACTTGATGCCATACTTCAACCGGAAAGCTGAGATAACGGGGAGTTATGGGCTTCTATACTGGGGCCATCGAGTGATCGTCCCTAAGAGTGCCCGAGCAGTGATGTTACGTCTGCTGCATGATACTCATCAAGGGATTTGCTCAATGAAGCGGCTAGGGCGCTCCTTGATGTGGTACCCCCGGATCGATAATGACATTGAGCACATGGTAAGTCCTGCACCAGTTGCATCCAAGCTGCCCTATGCCCCCAAAGAAACCCCCTGTTGCGTGGCCAGAAACGGATGAGCGTTGGTCGAGGCTGCATATCGATTTTGCGGGGCCGATCGATGGTCACATGCTACTGATTGTGGTGGATTCACATAGTAAGTGGATAGAAGCGATTACCCATGAAGAGTTCCACCACACACGCCACCATAGAGGCTCTGCGCACCTTGTTCAGTACATTCGGGTTGCCCGGACGCTGGTATCCGATAATGGCCCACAGTTTACGAGTTGGGAATTTAACACCTTCACGAAGCTGAATAACATAGTACACCTCCGAACAGCACCGTATCACCCCCAGTCCAATGGGCTCGCGGAGCAGGCGGTTCGTACGGTGAAGTATTCATTGAAGAAGAATGTACAAGGGTCACTGAAAACCCGCCTGGCTAGGATTTTGCACAGGTACCGCAGGACGCCGGCTCTGTTCCCACTTGTACCACAGAACTGTCATATTGACTATATAGGCCATTTGGCTGCTTTTTTTTCTCAGCTGGATAGGTAGGCTAGTGTGGTAAAATGTGAAAATGAGCCGTATTTGCTTTTACCTCATACCTATTATCTATCATTCAGCAACACTTATATGGGACCCTGGTTACTCCTAAAATGTGGCGCTTATCTTTTCTGGTTTAATTTGATATCTGCCCCAAATACTAGTATTTCAAATTGTAGCTCATATTGCAGCACATTTCTGACAACTTTCCATTGTTCGCATCATCAAATTTATTTTGATTGTTGTCTGGTAAATACATTTCATAACAAAGAATATTTACTAGTTGCTTCGACACTGCTCTGAACTCTTAATAATGCATGGCAAATTTATTATCTGCTCCTAAGCCACTAGTAGCTGCTGTAAACTAGCATTTTTTCCTGCTCCGAAAGTTCTTATTGCTGCTCCAAAGTAGTACTTTTCCTGCTCCAAAGTATGCTCTAAAAAGTAAAAAGTCGCTTCTGTCATTCAGTACATCATGCTGAGACCATTTGCCTGTTCTTTCTGGTAAAATAAAGATTTAATAATGGCCAGCCCAAAAATCACTATTTGCTGACTTTTATTAAGACTTTATAGATAACCCGCCAAGCTTCCCAGCTTTCACTCACAATTCTAGCCGTCTCTCTACCATGCAAGCCACAGTACTTTGTTGTAGTTCGAGTAGACTTGCGTTATTACGTTATGGAAATAAAACTTTGAAGGAAAGCGATGTGAAAGTAATAAATTACATTTCTGTAATTGCTGAGTTGCTTTTCTGTGGTTGTACTCGACAGCTGTAATCAATTACTTAATACACAAAACAGTAATAACCGTTACTTATTTTCTGTAACATGACGATTCTCATTGTGGCCTAAGTGTTCTGGCAGCAAAACATTTTGTGGTGTGAAAAAGCGTGCGACCTAGTGAAGTTGCGGTTACGGGGCTCGGCTGCGGGTCCAGGGTTCGATTCTGGCTGCGGTGATCACATGTTCTATTGAGATGAAATGGTGGATGGTCAGTGATGGTCAATATTTCCAGAGCCCTCTCTCATAATTATCGTCGTTTTTTTATGTGAACTCTCGGATAATAACACTCAGTAGAGATACCTACAGTGTTTTGCGATGATGTACGTTCCCTGCTGCTGACTGTAACTTCCAAGTCATATCAGACTGGAAATATCTCGGATCGGTTCGTTCCATGTTTTTTCACTCCTTTCTTTTGATGCCTTAGTGCTTTTCAAGACATTCTGATGCATTCCAGGTGTAATTTTTGTGCAGCTGTAATTACAATCCAGCACTGACTCAGTCTATTTGTTGTTTCTTGTCTTTGCAACAACACTCTGGGCAGCTGCTACAAAATTTAACTTTTTATGTGACAAAGATTGATTTAAAAACCATTCCCATAGCTTTTACTGAAGCTGGGGCTAATGGCTACATCAAGGATAAGCAACATATGGTATTAAATGTAACAGCACAGAATACCAGGGTCATTTTACAGATTGTATTGATTCGAAAACAAGGAGTAGTGTTCCTGGAATGTAAGGTAATCTTCCACACTAAGGTGATCCTTCTAGAATGTTGATTATGAGTGCAAAGAAACAAGTCATGGTGGCAGAAAATATGAGTATTTTATCATTTTTGCATCACTTTTGCGTCGCCCCGCCGCGGTGGTCTAGTGGCTAAGGTACTCGGCTGCTGACCCGCAGGGCGCGGGTTCAAATCCCGGCTGCGGCGGCTGCATTTCCGATGGAGGCGGAAATGTTGTAGGCCCGTGTGCTCAGATTTGGGTGCACGTTAAAGAACCCCAGGTGGTCTAAATTTCCGGAGCCCTCCACTACGGCGTCTCTCATAATCATATAGTGGTTTTGGGACGTTAAACCCCAGATATCAATCAATCAATCACTTTTGCGTCTTCTATAGTCCTTTGATAAGCCCCATGATACAGAGTACCGGCTAGCCCAGCGGTCCTTCTAGTGGTTAAGTGAAGCTAAAGGAAAACTGATTTTGTGAGAAATCGATGCAGTGAAACTTTTGTATGATAAAGTGAGACAGGCAATGTTTGGTATTTGAACAACAGGCTTTCTTCGACAAATGTCAAGTGGCCGGAACCATGTGGTATGAAACTGTGATTGTATTGTTCGGGTGACAGTCAATACGTGCAGCTCTTGCAACCACCCTTTTCCATCCCTTTCATCAGTATGCCAAGGGATGCAAGCAACTTGAATGGCCAATGATCGACTGCTCTGCTTGGTAAAACAATAAACGGGGCTCGTTTTAAGTTGCCATTGTAATGCATAGACCGAACCCAAGCTATGTGCCAGGAAGGAAAACGGACAATCTTGTCACATTGGCGATGCATGTTCGAAAAGCACCAACTGAGTGCATTGGACCTGTCTATTCTGTATACATACTTTTGTGGTATTGATGCGCAGTGTGCGGCGCATGCCTCCTGTACTGTGTACTCGCCCCAAGATCAGAGTACAAGCGGCAGCACCAGCATCACACTAGTGTGGATAGGTGGTGCGCATTTTGTGAGCGGTGCAAGCTGACTGTTGGAGAATAAAATGCGTTGACTGCAGCCTACTTGTAATATGTATGTTGCCCATTACCGAATGAATGCACAAAGCTTGCCAAGTGTTAGGAACACAATCTGTCATTGAAAGCGATATTCGCACGTGACCACTGTAGTGCGACTGAATTCGTCATTTGTTTCATTCTTGGTCAATGAGGTAAAGTAACCACGAATATGACAATACAAAAAGGTAACAACATACAGCTTTGTTCAATCGATTATCTACACACAGTGATACAACAATGTTTGGTTATTTGATAAGACAAAGGTTTTTTTCAAGTGAGTCAACCTATAACAATGCCACAAAAGCTACTCAAAATAATGTAAAAAAAGACTGTGTTTTGCGGGACATTATATGATATAACCTAGGCATGCCATCTGGATCAATTTTTTTTACCATCTTGATTCTTTAAAGTGAACTCAAATCTAAGCAGACGAGTGGGCTCGCACAATGTTCAAAATGCGCCTGGTGACTCATGTTGAACAATGGCCATGTACTTCTATTCTTTTTAAAGGACAATGTAAGTACTGAAGTGGCAGAATTTACTTGACACAAATATTTCATTGTAATGGGACCGTGCAATGCAAAAAGTATCTCTAGTAAAATCAAAGCTTATGGCATCATCAAATAGCACAACAGCGCCGCACTTACAATAAGCAAGATTTGGTCAACCTGCCTTCTTCGTCCTTGTTAATACTGACTCACTAATATGTTATCTAATATTCCTTATGTTTAAGATGACGCCAAGGGCACTTCAGTACAAAGTGCTTCAATGACAGAGTGGTATGTAAATCATCATAATATAACATGAATAAAGAAAACTTACACACAGAATAGACATCGCATGTGTGGTTCTGCAGCTCCATTTTGTCTTTTCGCGTAAATACTATGATTGTTAGGAAGCACCAACTCCCTCAAGACATTCGACAAAGCGAGACCTTTACCGACATGACCCTGGCAAATGGAAGGTACGACAACACCCAGTACTCGGCGAGGGCACATACTGGTCTTACTGCAGTGCATATACAGGCGAGCAAGTCGAAATGCTGGTATAGATAGTGCTAGGCAAACGTGCAAGCAGTTGAGCTTGTGCTAACATAGCGGGATGAGCCGCCCTTTGAGGATGAACATATTGTGCACACATATGCTAGCCTTACATGGCTAGCAGACAATGCAAAGACCAATCCACACAAGGCACGCTTTAACCAGTGGCCACCTGATGTTGACACATTTCGATCTTGGGGCTGAATACATCTAGGAAAACTGTTGCACAATGAAGATAATTGCCAGTTAGCACTTGTCCTGTCCGTGTGTTTGTCTGCTTCATACCAAATTACATACGCTGAAGTTTATCGCTGTGTAAAGATTAACTGGTACAGCCAGTACAGTTGGGAAGCATGTGTGCTTGATCATTGTGGCTAATGTTGATGTGAAATTCATAATGCCATTTGGGTACTTTTTCTGCTTGTGAATTGTGTATTACAGGCAGTTTCTGTGTCTTGCACTCAGTCCTTGGAACACCACAAGTTCCCTGACGATGCCATCATACCGCAAGCCACCTACGAACAACGATTCTAGCATGGGAGGTGATGAGCAGAAAGCTGAGGCTAGCGAGGGGTCCCCAGAGATCTGGAATTTCTGGGCTCTTACACCCAGTGCCCGGATGTCACAGCTTTGGTGAATGCCACCCCTTGCAACAGCCAAAACAAGACGTGCCACTGAACCCTCCCTTGCGACGGCCAAGGGAAGACCTGCCACTGAACCCTCCACTTGTGCTCGGGACCACTACACCCTTGATGTTGTTCCAAGATGCATTTGCAGTCCTGAATGACTTCTGGTAAGCTTCTTTTTTACCGTCGGGAATATGTCCTGCATGACATGTGGTCCGCCGTCTTTTCAGCAACTAGGCCTGTATCGCTGGTGTTGTATGTGTCTCAGTTTTGTTATAGTTGCATCCACAACAAAGCTAACAGGGTGTGCATAAAAAGTTTGTTGTAGTGAAATTTCTTGTATAGACCACAAGTTTTGGGAATGACTTGTTCTCTGGGTCCAGAAAGCGACTGCATTATTTTTTACATCACTCTCACTGACTTATGCTTATTTGGCTGCACTGAAGGTGCCGTATTTTATCGCCTATAAGTTTGAACAAAGTATACAGACAATGGGTAGCCAAAGTTGGTTTGCAGCTTATGCGCTGATTTTAGTGCATAAGTTGGCTTCACTGCACAGGTTCACGGTAGTGTAAAGCCTTCATGTCGATTTGCAGGCATCGTTTTTCTATAATTTTTGTTCTATGGTTTGTAGGGGAGGGTAATACGAAAAAAAGATACAGCAATGAGACGACTCCCAAGTGAATGCCTGCTTTAAAGCTTCGAGGGTGGCAGGAAGCTACAAAAGCTACGAGCTGAAGTATGAACCACCATAGTTTGAAGTGAAGGACAGGAAAGCACTTTGTGCCTTTTTACAACTTTCGATACCTTAAGAGCTGTGTGGTAGGTATAGATGATCATGATAGTAGCAATGATGGAAGTGCTGCTCCAACTACTCTAAACTGCTCTAAAAGAGAAATGCTGCTTCATGCAGCTTCAAAGTGCAATAATTGCTAGTAACTGCTCCAAACCTGCTTTGAAAGGATGTTGGCAAACTAAAAAGAATGATAAAGTTTAACCATGGGACCATCCCGTGAGCCTAAGCGAAACCATAGGCAAGCTGTATACACTATCATCCTAGTATGTTACTCGGTGGCGTAAACCCAGAAAAACCTCAAGGGGTGACACATATCAGGCCATGGTGTCCATTTCATATTTTTAATATGTGTTGTATTTTTATATATATAGGAATTAAATCCTGCTTTCAAATAAAATTAAAAGAAAAATGAGCATGGGGTTCGAGCTCGAGCAATTGCATTTTTCAATTCAGTCTCTTTCTTTTTTCACCTTTTTTTCAATTTCCATAGTTCACACAGCTAAGGGGCACTTAACACAGGCACGCACTAAAAGATAAAAAGCCATTTAAAAGCCTATTGTGCTATACTTAACTGGCAACTCGGTTATATCACGTGCTAAAGCTAAATCTCAAGTGGGACACTTGCTAGGGGTGTCCTCCTTAGCCTGAACATCAAAAAAGTCCGGACTCTCTTGACCCCATTTTCTCCGCCTATGATTTACGCCAACTATACTGCTTGTATACTAGCTGCATACCAGCATACTGCATGTTTATTTATACAGTTAAACCGCTATATAAGAGACATGCTCTGGGCAGCAATTCTTGTCTCTTATATGAGATGTGTCTTATAAGCAGGGCACCTGGTATTCATTTTCTTCTCAGAATCAGAAATGATTTTATTAGGTCATCAGGAGCATTACAAATTGTTAGTATAACAATCTGTATTTTATTGTAGGCACACTTGTGTCGCTCATACTTGTTTGTTTCTTGTATCAGTGTCTCTTTTAAAGGGGTTCAGCTATAAATATGAATATTATTAGATGCTTAAGTGATGTTTTAGACTTGAGGAGTTGTCAGGAACATGCATCTGCTCCAAAAACACCAATAGAAACCCTAATCTGTAGCATTTTTTTTGCTCAAGACACTTGAGGCTGCTCCAAAGCACCATTTTTTCTGCTCCAGAATCTTCTCCAAAAAAGAAAATGTCGCTTTCATCACTGTAGTAAGGAACCATGGTTTTGTTTGCAGTGGTCAGTTAGTTCAATCTTGGTGCGCTGGCCACACATGTGCCATCAGAACAGCTTCTATGACTGTGTCTACTGCAGTTTTGTTGGCAGAGGTCATGGCAGAATATAGTTTTGTTTGGTTCTCATGCCTCCTTCAAAGGCCTTGGTTGTTATGCCCAGTGGCAGAAACGTAGTCGAAGTGTGCCAGATGGGTGTTGCAATGCGCTGCTTGAGAAGTTTTTGTGAGGATATACAGCAATCACAGGCCTTTTCTTCACAAGATAGCACTTGCAAAATTTTCCAAGGTGGTAGGTAGCAACGTTACTGAAAGTTTTTTTTTCCAACTTGGCTTTAGATCTTCCATTTTCACTGCTTCACAAGCCTGTTCGAAGGCCCGCAGTTGGTCACTGACATTAGTTTGAAAAATCAATTATATTCCTTGAGTGAGCCTCACTTAGCAGGGTGTCTACTACCAACCTGGAAAAGTCACGGAATTTCTGAAAAACTTAGTCAGGTCATGGAAACTGATTGCAGTCTGTGGGTTTGTTACAAAAATAAGCATTACCATTGATCAAAGCTTAAAAAGTCGCTCCTTCTAGAAGAGGTGGGAAATAAAGGCAGTGTATAACTGTCACCTCTTAGTGCAAACTCAAAAGGATACACCACTAAAAAAAAGTTTACTGACATTTCGGCACCTCATGTGAGAGGCTTGTTCACAATAAAAGCCATAAGAAAGGCACAGCGTATTTAAAAAGATATTAAAGAGCAAAACTGTTTTTTGCATGTTAGGATAGTACAATTTCACAATCTCTAAAACACCATTCTTACCATGGCAGAACGTTTGGTAAGCGAGAATGTGCACCACGAAAAATGCGGGGGAAGACGCCACCTTAAGATTCCTATCCCAAGCGCGCTGTGATGTCATAGATTTTGAAGACGTACTGGGTCCTACATAACTGCTACCTAATAAAAATGAAGCACATTATCATCTGTAGGTGCCATATATCTAGCATACGAAGTTGCAGAAAACTTCCTCAGGCCTATGTCATGAAAAGACAAACAGTGCATTTTGAAATAGGTCTTCATGTGCAGATATTTATGAACAAAGTTTAAGAATGAAACTTCAACTTTTATTTTCTTCTTATGATAGTGAAAAAAAAAGGCATCAAAGTTCTCAGAATGTAGTTTGTTAATCTAAACCACGTCATTGTTTCTAGCTTTTTAGTGTCCCTTTAAGTACGCCTAAGTACATGACATAAGCTTTGAGAGTACATTGTCAAAAGTGTCCCATCACTCCTCCTGTTCAGCATGTGGGAAGTTGTCTGTATGTGCAGGGATTCCACGGGCAGGCATGTTGCTGGCTTAACTTTTTTTTTTTACTACAGCATGTGCGCTTGACCAGTCAGTTTGATGGCTTGTAGATTCTACATGTTCAGCAAGGGCGTTTGAGCCCCTGTGTCATTTGGTGACATCAAGTTCATGTTGTTTAACTCTTCTTGAACTCGCCAATTTCACCGTTACACAAGTTTTCATAATCGTGGGAGCCTATGGTAGTGAAGAAGAACGAGGACATTTTTTTCCTTCACATTGACTACAGCATTTTTTAGCTTCCATATTGGTACATGAACTATTTGAATGTCGGCTGCATACACAGCATATCTGAATTTGGAACCTGTACATTACTCATGTAGGTAAATTTGTGCATGCTTGGTTTAGTCGCGATTTCGGCCTGGCTTGAAGGTCTGGTTAGGCTAGAACTGCCATCAGCAGAAGCTTGCCGGGGTATGTCGTGCCTCTTATTATTGTTATTATATAAGGATTGTTATTATTGGCGATGCAATGGCAAACGTTCTCACCTATGCACTCATTGCTGGTATCTGTGTATTTTCGACTAAATTTCTCATTTAAGTTTTTTGAGATTGTGTCCTTAAATCTGTGATTATTTTTTAGCGTCACGTTCATATAAGAGTACATAAACGAAAGTTCTTTTACCTTCCTCTTACCTTCCAAAGTTGCAGCGCTCCGGGGTGTTCTATTTTTTTACCTGGATATCTTTGACGTCGACAACCGTCCCCTGGGCCGCACAAGTGCTGTAACCTACCGCATCGGCACTTGCGATGCCAGTCCACTCCACAAACGCCCTTGTCGCCTGTCACATGCTGAGCACCAAGTTATACAGACGAAGGTCGCGAAAATGCTGAGTGAAGACGTCATTGAGCATTCATCGAGTCCTTGGGCATCCCCTGTGGTCTTAGTTAAAAAGAAGGACAACACTTGGCGCTTTTGCGTCGACTATCGCTACCTGAATCGAATCACCAAGAAGGACGTTTATCCTTTACCCCGAATCGATGATGCGCTCCACTGCCTCCACGACACCAACTATTTCTCGTCCCTTGACCTTTGATCCGGATAATGGCAAATTTGGGTCGACGACCGCGACCGCGAGAAGACAGCATTCATCACACCTCACGGCCTTTACCAATTCAAGGTCATGCCTTTTGGATTGTGCAATGCCCCGGCTACTTTTGAACGTATGGTGGACTCTCTTCTTCGCGGTTCCAAATGGTCGACCTGCCTTTGCTATCTGGATGATGTAATCGTTTTCTCGCCCTCCTTCGAAAGCCATCTGTCTCGTCTCTCGGCAATTCTTGACGTTTTTCGTTCCGTTGGTCTCCAACTGAATTGGTCGAAATGCTCATTTGAATGCCGGTAGATTAACTACTCGGCCACCTTGTTGACGCCACTGGTGTTCAACCCGACCCCGACAAAGTCCGTGCAGTCTGAGAATTCCTGGTTCCGCGTTCTACACAAAAGTTTGCAGTTTTATTGGGCTCTGCTCATACTTCCGCCGCTTTGTCTTCAACTTTGCAGATATTGCTAGGCCCCTCACGGATCTCCTCAAAAAGAATGTGGCCTTTTCTTGGGGAAGGGACCAAGAACATTTTTTTGCGTCGCTAATTACCACCCTCACATCACCACCTGCTATGGCTCATTTTGATCCAGCGGCTCGAACAGAGCTTCGCACCTATGCAAGCGGCCATGGCATTGGTGCTATACTCACTCAGATACAGAATGGCACCAACCGTGTGATAGCCTACGCTAGCCGCCTTTTGTCGCATAGCGGAACAAAATTATTCCATCACTGAGTGGGAATGCTTAGCCCTCG